TCGTGAGCTGCCTTGAACGCATCTTTCCTGAGTCCAAACATTATTCTTAGCACTGAATAGTGGGAACATGTTTCTGAACAATGTGTATTACTTGAGACATGGTCTTGCCTCGCTCGAGCTCGCCATGAATCGTTTGATTTACGTGCGCATGTCGCGGTTGATTTACTTGTGCTCCCAGCTCCACAAAGAACCGCGTTTGGCTTCGAAAGCTGTGCGCTTACATGCCGTGATTGCAGCTTTCTCGGCTAACACACAGCTTGTGGTATCATGAACCGCTGGGCGTTTGCGGCCTGGGCGGTTGGGATAGACACCGATAGCCTAGAAGGCCAGGAGCCGCCGCCCATGGAGTACTGGGAGGACGTTGATCCTGGGCCAGGTCAGCGCTTTTGCGGGATATTCTGTTTGCGCTGCGAGTTGAGTCGATTTATGATTTTCACGTGATCGCGATGGAGTTCAGAAGCAATTCTGTCGTGGCAGTTTTGGTATTCGATGTGAAAATGGAAGAGCAGCAGGTCTTTGCGTTTTTTTCGCTGCGACGGGCAATGAGACTGTGCAATGAGAGAAAAAAAGAAACAAAGGCGCGGGGGTCATGTTTGCTTACTTGTGTGACAAGAAACACGGTTTGTTTTGCCGGTCTTGCCGGTCGTGTTATTGCTCGCCGGTCTGCATGGGCAACGGTTATGGGCCCAGTGTCTCAGCTTACTCGTGAACGAGTCTTCAGCCTTTTTGGCCTTTGTGGGCGCACAAGTTACTTGGAAGTTGGAAGTCTGTCGGACCTCCATTCATGCACTTTTACTTCGGCGGTTTTTTCTAGTGTCGGATCTGGGGTCTTTGAAGATACGAATGTTACGTGCGGGTGAGGGAGGCTGCTAGATGTTGCTTGTTGCCCCGGAGTGCATGTTGCCGACCTGAGCTACGCCGTTACATAGGCTGTGTTGTTGCAATGGCTGCCCTAAGCATGATCCTTGAAGAGCGAAAGTGGCCAGGGTTAAAGGGAATCGGTTTCCTCAAAGGTTGGCTTGGTGGCAGACCCTACGACTTCCGTGGCTGACTTGGCCAATCCGGCAGTACTTGGAGCACCACAAAAGCGAGGATCTCTGCAAACTCAGATGCCCGCCGCCCGCTGGGCCGGCTTCGTACTGATGGTAGACGTCTCCCCAGCCTCGTTGGCTGCCAACACGGCTGGCCTCTTGTACGACCTCTTGGCACTTGCCCCGAAGCTTGCCTCGAAGAAAGTGCTGTCGAGCTTGGACCTCTTGTGCAAGAACAAGGTTCTGTGGTTGCCACCGAACAAGCAACCCCAGGCGACCACGGACAGGCTTGACACGACAGTGAGAATCCTCTTGGCCATGTTGAGGACCCTGAAGGTGAACGAGGAGTTGAGATCGAAGTGCTGGCGACGCTTGGGGAGGGAAGAGCAGATCATGCTCGAAACAGGAAATCGCGCTCGAAAAGCTCGAGCTGCCTCCTGGGTACTGGCCTGAGGGCCAGATCAAAGGCGGGGAGGAGGATCTCCGACCCGCAGGCTAAAACATCCTAAGGGCAGGTTCTGAGGGTCACCCTGTTATTTCCCCTTGTTTAAGGTCCTTCAAACCTTTGGGGGAAATGGTGTTTTGTGTGCAGCCGACATGTACATGCGAATGCATTTGGCTCAAGACCTTGATAATAGATTCGAGGCAAACATCTACGGCTGTAAATATGATTTCAGAAGGTTGTGTTGTACCGCAGTTGCAATCCACCGCTGGGACCAATTGTAAGCTTACGGCTGAGAACCTGCCAGGAGGCGAGTCAACCACGTAGTCAATGACAAGGCAGTTGGGGTTCGAATCCCGTGGGGTGACCAATACCCTCGACAATGGAGTCGTATAGCAGTGGTCGTTGTAAAAGGGGTTTGTAAGGTAAGTGGTCTGCGCTGTCTCACGACTCGATGCGACGGCGGAATACGGACCTTTTGCTTTGTTTCACAGCAGTATATTGGACAATGGATTTTTCCGGAAGCCCGGGAACTGCAACATTTGGAAATGACAGTTCCAGCGGTTCCACAGGTATGCCTGCCGTGCCGGCGATTGCAGACTCTCCACACACTCAACAAAGTGCAAGTTCTGGTATTAGCCATGACCCATCACATTCATCCTGGAAAGAAGTTGGTCATGCCGTGTGGATCGGCTTTATTATCGACACCGAGAAGGAGAGTGAGGGGCGTCATGAGTCCTGTGAGAAAGGAAAAAGGGCGATCGAAGTCGCCTACAGGCTCCAGTCCGTCTAAGATCACTCAGGAGAACAAGACCCTCAAACAGGAAGTGAAGGAGGCTGAGCGCAATTTGGCTATGCTTCAGGAGTCATATGAACGTGACGACCAAGGCAATGTCACGCGCATTCAGGAACTGGAACGGAGAGCAGGCGTGTCGGAACAACAAGTAGCCCATATCCTCAAAAGATCCGACGAACAACTTCGAGAAGTTGCTTAACACATTGGCATTCAACGTGGGAAGACAAAACTATCCGAAGATCAGGCACAACATCTCGTGAAGATCTACGGAGAGTATCAAGACGAAGCCCGACTTAAGGTCCTCGAGTACGAGAAGCGACACCAAGAGATGGCCGCGACCGTAAATCTGCTCGAACATCGAATCAGACGCGAGGAGGAAAGCTCATTGGTCAGCAAGAACAAGGCTGAACAAGAGAGGAGAAGTGCTTCTTCCGAAATCGCGCAGTATTAATCGATGATCAACTCCTATCAGGTGAAGATCACTACGGACTCGCAGAACGAGGAGAACACTATTCGTGGTTTGCGTGAAAGATTGGAAACAGCATTGTTGCCAGCGATTGATGACGAGCCGCAAAGTATATTGGTGAGCAAAGCAAATGATGCTATCAGGTACGCTGAACAAGAAGCCCACTGCGCACGGGTTGCCGTGAGCGAACGGGATGAGATGTGTCTGATCGGACAACGTGCAGTACAGGAGCGTGACGCAAAGATGAATGAGGAGATCAAGATCGCTAGAGATCGAGCTCAGCAAGGACATGCACTACAAGATCGCGCCACGCTGAGGGATCATGAGTTTGTCGACGTGACTCGCGAACTCGCTGCATCAAGGCAAAAGGCCAATGATGCGAAATCCGATTACCTCAATCAGATCGCTGCAATGTCCGAAGAGATCGAAGAGACACGACGAGAGCTCAAGATCCAAGAGAGCTTTGTATATCAGCTGGCAGAGACGAACAAGGAACACGAGAGCGAGAATGCCACCCAAATCGCCGTTGCGGCGGACACAAAAGATCGTGGACGAGCTCTACTGAGGGATGATACTGTTAGGGCCGGTAAACGCCATAATTCGAAGACCCGTAAGAGTGATACCACAAATGGGCTTCAACAACAAGGTCAGGTAGTGCTCTATCAGGCTACTGTGGCGGCATCTAGTCTAACGCACAGGTACCCATTGATTACAGCCTTGGACCGGGTTCTGCTTTGTTTCCTGTTTACCAAGACCCAATGATACAGGTACAGGCTCATATCGACCAACTCCATGAGGCGGTAGGATCTATTCCAAATATGAGATTTGGTTCAACCGGCAATAATGGAGGTGGTGGTGGTCATGGTCATCACAATACAGATGGAAACGCCGAAGATCACGAAGCTGGACCGCGCTTCAGCAGATCCTGATATCGCAGTGTGGATGTCATGGGTGGCGTGTGCTTTCGTGGTGAATCCCGACCAGCCGATTCGGGAGGCGAACGATTTGCAATGATGGATATCAAGCTGGCCCTCTCCCACAGATTGATCAAGGGAAGAGAGATCATTGCCATCATACTACAATCTTTCAGATCAAGTGATCGATCAGACATGACTTTCACCATTGAATATTTGATCAGACTCCGCAACAAATGGTATGACATTCTGCTCAACCTGAGGAAGGAGGATACACCCAGAGAAATCACGCTCCGGGACATCCTGTACCACAAGATCCAAGGAAGCAGGAAGCTGGAATGTGGTCTCAATACCTATGCGCGGTTACCGGATGCACACCCCGAAAAGACATACCGCTTCCTTTTAGGATTGATTGATTGACAACTTCGGACTGATCGTGAGGACTACGTCTATGACATGAAGGAGAAGTCAGGGTAGGGAATGGTCACGGGAGAACGCCAAACCAGGGACAGCCATGAACTCGTTGGAAAATAATCAGACCCACGTGGGGGTAGGGAAAGTGCTGAGATTCGCTTTGCACCGGCTTCCTCCTGCACGCGATCATGGGACTCATGCACTCCCTGGCCTGGTGGCTCATTATGTTCTGAAGGCCAAACGGACCTAGCGCACTCTCATTATGTTTGGAAGGCCAACCGGATCTAGTAAAAAGCCGGACCTAGCGACTTTCCTTCCACTTTCATGATCGCGAGGCGAAGCCCAGCTGTTTTTGAAAACGATGGATTGAAATGTAACGCAGCAGTCACCAGCCATCACAGAAACACTACACACACAAACACACCACACACAACCACACACGTGGGATGGACATTCGCAGCACCATCTTTTGAAATGGACGGGTTTGAAAATGGTGAGCCTTTTGGATCCCTTCAAAGGCGATAAAAAACATGTGGGTGCCACGATGGTTTTCTTAAAGTCAAAATGGTTTGTCCTCAAATGGACCCAGTGGTAGGCGCGCAGACATTGTGGATGGCTCGATCCGGATTTACTGTGAAGGGACGAAAACAGGGATGGGCTCGAGATAGGTTTGAGAGAACACAATAAGGAACCTACCTGCTTCTGAAAGAGCGTGCGCGAGTTTCCTGTTGTCCGAAGTACCTCTCCTTGCGCCCTGTCCATACCACATGTGTCACAACTAGGGACCCCTGAGTGTCGGGTTCCTTCTATGATGCCTCCTCTTCCTGAAAAGGTTGAACAAGAAAACGAACAGTTTTCAACACGCGCAACACAACACGAATAAACAGCGACGCAACACGCACCACTCGTCTCCGAAGGGTCGATGAAAGCGCTTCAGGCCTTGAGCTTCACTCCGCTGCGGCGAGGCAGGGGTTTCCCGACTTGGGCGCGCGAAAGGATAGTCTTCACAATTTTCAGGAACTGTTTCAGCTTGAAGGTTCTATTGGGACAGTTTGTTGCTAGTGGAATGTTGGGCCAGACACCAAGAGATTAGTTCGTCAATCGCCCAAAAGCTAGCCCGGAACTCCTCCAGATGGCATTTCATGTTGACTTGACTGGCCTGTGGCTTACTAAAGGATTTGGCTTTGTTTTTGCGACTTTTCTGTGGACCTCTTGTTGAGGAACACATGACATATCTTTGCTCGGACGCCTGGGAGCTTTGCTTCTGCTTGGGTGCTGCCGTTGAAATATATTTGCTTCTGCTTGGAAGCAAGAGGTTTTAGATCAACAAACAGACTAAGACAAATACCACTGGGGTCTGGCGGAGGGATCCTAAGTTTCCTTTTGGAGGGAAGTGTACAGGTCTCCCGCAGATGCCCGAACTGCAGGAGTGTCCTTCTGGGGGAAGGGCTTGTGTTTTTGTTTTTTGTTTCCATGCAGCATTGATTCGATTTTCGATAGAGTCATGGAGAGTGGCAAGCAGCTGTGGGACAACTGCCAACCAGCTAATTCAGGCTGGTTCGTCAGGCATATTTTTGGGGTTTTGCTAACCAAGTGGTGGTTGCTGGTCCATTCCCTCCTTGTGCCCTGAGAAGAGCAAGAAGTTCAGCCAACTATGGGGGACTTGTCTCGTAGCAGATCCCTCGCATTGTCCTCAAGGTTTGGTCAAGATTTCTAGTCGATTGGGGGTACCTATGTTTGACCCACACGCATATGACATCAGCGCAGATCCGAACAAACACCAGCCACTCGCTCGAAAGGCCGGCCCCCGGAAGTGGCGCTGGCGGGCTTGAGGCGGGCCCAAGCCGTTTGCCGGGAATCGGGGCAGCGAAAACCGCAACTCGAAACACGGATACCCCGAAAACAGGAGGGGCGGACCTGATTTTACTTTTTGGTTTGCCATGTTTGGTCAATTCTTAATTCTGGCCCCAAAGCTTTCCATGCGGATACGTGTAGTGATTTAGGCGGGATCCAGGCCACTTTTCCAGGAAAGACCTGTAAAACACCTTTACCGTTCTGCCTGGTTTAATCAAGGGTCTCGTCTGAAGTTTAATAGAAGGAAACCCAAAAGAGGTCTGATCCCATGGTGCAAGCAAACAAAGGCTTACCGCTTTTGATGTGATGTTGATGGTGCAACAGTCGGGCTAGCAAACAAAGTTTACCTTTCTTTTCGGTGCAAATTAGCGAACCAGCGAACAAAGGTTTACCACTTTTGATGGTGCAATTGGGCTAGCAAACAAAGGCTTACCACGTAATGGGTGATGTTGCTGTTGCAATTGTCGAGCTAGCAAACAAAGGTTTACCCCTTTTGATGGTGCAATTGTCGGGTTAGCGAACAAAGGTTTACCACTTAATAGGAGATGTTGATGGCGCAATAGGCGGGCTAGCAAAGAAAGGTTTACCACTTTTGATGGTGCAATTGTTGGGCTAGCAAAAAACGGTTGACCACTTAATGGGTGATGTTGATGGTGCAATAGTCAGGCTAACAAACAATGGTTTACCACTGTTGATGGTGCAACCGTCGGGCTAGGTTTACCACTTAGTGGGTGATGTTGATGGTGCAATTGTCGGGCTAACAAACAAAGGTTTACCACTTAATGGGTGATGTTGATGGTGCAATTGTCGGGCTAACAAACAAAGGTTTACCACTTACTGGGTGATGTTGATGGTGCCATTATCCGGCTAACAAACAAAGGTTTTGACCACTTAATGGGTGATGTGGATGGTGCAATAGTCGGGCTAGCAAAAAAGGTTTACCACGTAACGGGTGATGTTGATGGTGCACTAGTCAGGCTAGCAAACAAAGGTGCAAGTGTTGGGCTAGCAAGCAAAGGTTTATCCCTTAATGGGTGATGTTGATGGTGTAGTAGTCAGGTGAACAAACAAGGGCTTACCACTTTTCATGGTGCACTTGCTTAATGGGTGATCTTGATGGCGCCATAGCCGGGCCAACAAGCGAAGGTTTTCCACTTTTGACGGTGCAATCGTCGGGCTAACAAAATTGGTTTACCACTTGATGGGTGATGTTGATGGCGCAATAGTCGGGCTAAGAAACAAAGGTTTATCACTGTTGATGATCCAATTGTGAAGCTAGCAAACAAAGGTCTACCACTTAATGGGTGATGTTGATGGTGCCATAGCCGGGCTAGCAAACAAAGGGTTAACACTGAATTGGTGATGTTGATTTTGCAATAGTCGGGCTAGCAAACAAAGACTTACTACTTTTGATGGTGCAATAGTCAGGCTATCAAACAAAGGTTTACCATTTATTCGCGCTAACAAACAATGGTTTACCACTTTTGATGGTGCAATTGGGCTAGCAAACAACGGTTTGCAACTTAATGCGTGATTTTGCTGGTGGACAACCACTTTTGATGGTGGAGTTGTCGGGCTAGCGAACAAAGTCTTTCCACTTAATGCGTAATGTTGATGGTGCAATAGTCAGGCTAGCAAACAAAGGTTTATTACTTAATGGGTGATGTTGATGGTGCCATAGCCGGGGTAACAAACAAAGGTTTACCACTTAATGGGTGATGATGATGGTGCAATTGGCGGGCTAGCAAGCAAAGGATTACTACTTTTGATGGTGCAATTGTCCGCCTAGCAAACGAAGGTTTACAACTTAATGGGTGATGTCGGGCTAACTAAAAACAGTTTACAACTTATGGGTGTTGTTGCAGCGAAATAGTTGGGCTCACAAACAAAGGCTTGCCACTTGTGATGGTGCACTTGCCGGGCTTACAAACAAAGGTTTACCACTTAGTTTGTGATGTTGATGGTGCAATAGTCCGGTTAGCAAACAACGGTGGACCACTTTTTGTTTGTGGCAGTTGTCGGGCTAGCAGACAAAGGTTTACTACTTAGTGGGTGATGTTGATGGTGCAATAGTCGGGCCAGCAAGCAAATGTTTACAACTATTGATGGTGCAGTTGTCGCGCTAACAAGCAAAGGTGTACCACTGAATGGGTGATGTTGATGGTTCAATAGCCGGGCTAGCAAACCAAGGTTTACCACTTTTCATGGTGCAATTTTTCGGGTGAGCAAAAAAAGGTTTACCACTTAATGGGTGAGCGCTAGTCGGGCTGGCAGACAAAGGTTTACCACTTTCGATGGTGCAGTCTCGCGCTAACAAGCAAAGGTTTTCCCCTTAACGGGTGATGTTGATGGTGTAATAGGCGGGCTAGCAAACAATTGTCGTGCTAACAGACAAAGTTTACAAATTAGTGGGTGATGTTGATGGTGCAATAGGCGGGCTAACCAACCATGGTGTATCACTTTTGATACGACTTAATGGCTGATGTTGATGGTGCAATTGTCGGCTAACAAACAAAGGTTTACCACTGAATGGGTGATTTTGATTGTGCAATAGTTGGGCTAGCAAACAAAGGTGCCATTGTCGGGCTAGCAAACAAAAGTTGTAGCAAACAAAGGCTTACCACTTGATGGGTGATGTTGATGGTGCAATAGTCGGGCTAGCAAACAAAGGCTTATCACTTGATGGGTTATCGGGCTAGCAAACACAGGCTTACCACTTGATGGGCGATGTTGATGGTGCAATAGTCGGGCTAGCAAACAAAGGCTTACCACTTAATGGGTGATGTTGATGGTGCAATAGGCGGGCTAGCAAACAAAGGCTTACCACTTAATGGATGATGTTGATGGTGCAATAGGCGGGCTAGCCAACAAAGGCTTACCACTTGATGGGTGATGTTGATGGTGCAATAGTCGGGCTAGCAAACAAAGGCTTACCACTTGATGGGTGATGTTGATGGTGCAATAGGCGGGCTAGCAAACAAAGGCTTACCACTTGATGGGTGATGTTGATGGTGCAATGGTCGGGCTAGCAAACAAAGGCTCATGGGTGATGTTGATGGTGCAATAGGCGGGCTAGCAAACAAAGGCTTACCACTTAATGGGTGATGTTGATGGTGCAATAGGAGGCCTAGCAAACAAAGGCTTACCACTTGATGGGTGATGTTGATGGTGCAATAGGGGGGCTAGCAAACACAGGCTTACCACTGGATGGGTTATGTTGATGGTGCAATAGTCGGGCTAGGAAACAGAGGCTTACCACTTGATGGGCGATGTTGATGGTGCAATAGGCGTGTTAGTAAATAATTTTTTGGCCTTATCATCCGCCCCCCTCCTTGAAAGCCACGGGATGATGTTTTCCTCGCGAGGATTTTCTGCATCGAGCGCTTCGGGGGCTTAAGGCCTGCCTTTGAGCGCGCGGCGTCCCAGCGAAGAGGATGGAGCCCAGAAGCCTGGTTCGTTTCCCATGGGAACTGGGGCATCTTCTTTTGGGACGTGGGCCACAAAATCTATCTGGTTTGTTTGGGCTGGGTTTTGGGCACAACTTGCGCGACTTCAAAAGGACCTGAGAGAGGTGTCCCGGAGATTGCTAGAATTTTCCTTTAGAAATGGGAAACTCCACCTAAACCATCCCAAACCACCAGTTGGGAAGCTGAACCTTTGCCAGGAACTTTTTGCGGATTCCGTCCACTGGGCCAAGCAGATGGGCCTGGTGGCTAAAGTGAAGTCGACGTTGACGGGTTCTCACCTCTGAACTACGGAAAGAGTTTAAGAGTTTAAGCGTGTCACTTCCATCCAATCCAATCCATTTGGTTTGGAAAGAAAGATAGGTTCAAGCCGTGGTAAGGCTCTCGAAACGGATCGCCGAGGAATGGACTTCCACCGGGACGGGCATGCCCGCCCGCCGCCTTTGGAGCGAGCGAATGGATCGGGCCCATGGTCAGAAACCAGCTCACTTCAGGTTGAACTGGTTCTTGTAGAGGGTAGACGGGCTATTTGTTTTCACAGAGAGGGATGAGTTGAAATCATTCATCCAGAAATGTCGTCTCCCCTTTTTGAATGGCCTTGAAGTTTGGCCCCGAAGGTGCTTCTCAAATGCGGGTTGCGAGTTCCTTTCTGTCATTGGCAACTTTGCTAACAACTGGGTATCCTTCCCTCGGCCACTGACTTGGGCCCTGTTTGATGCGAACCGCCCCCCCAATTGGCAGTTGATTCAGCAACTCAACTGGGTCCTTGTGACTTGAGAAGATCCTTAAGTCGGAGTCATGCCCAGTTGCTTCCTAGACCTATGTTCCTGAAAATCGACGCTCGGCGCTGGCACGGGGTCTCTGACACCCTCTGTATTGGTGCTCATGTTGATCTGAGTTGGTAGCGCAAGCAGGACTCTTGTTGGGTCTATGTCACCCGAGGGAAGACGAGAAGAATTACCCTCACCACAAAATCGTGGAAGAGGGCCCCAAAGGCAGGCCGAGCAAAAGAGTCCTGTTATCCGAAATTGTTTGAAGGAGAATTGTCCTGCTGTCCTCCTGCCCTACCCCTCCATCTCTACGCCAGGCCCACGTGTACCCTCCAAAACACATCTCTACATCTATCAGGGTGTATGTTTGCTTCGACCACACCCTGGCCCTCAGACACGGAGCTTTGAGCCATGGCTCCCAAATCGAAGGATCGAAGCGTAGGTGAGCTGCCTGGAGTTCCAGGAGGTCGTCGCGGGCCAGGAGCGCTACTGCAGCTTGCAGGAGGCCGCGGGCGAGCGCCGGGCGAGCGGGCGAGAGCCTGCCGCATTCAGTGAATTCAGAGCAGACATGGGGCCCGTGCCCTTTTCGGGTGCCTCAAGTGCCGTTTGACTCACCTGAATCTGGAGGTTTCGTGGCCACTTTTTTGTGCGCCCGACAAAAATCCCAGCGAGGTGAGAAGCGAGACTTGAAGGCCCTCGGAAGGTTCCCGCGTTGCTATTAACTTGCCACACATCCAGTCTCAGAGGTCGGGAAGGGCTGGGAAGGACCTTGAACAGGAAGATCGCCCCAAGTTTCAACAAATTTCTTGGGGCGGCCTTAAGTTTCAATTCTATGTCCACCATTTCCGGACAAGGCATGCCGAGCCGACTTTGCCCGTTTGCCGCACTCAATCTGGGATTGCCTGCGTCTCCGGCGCATGAAAGAGCTCAGGTGTTTTCCACAAATCAACCAGCATCGGCCCCAAACAGCACTTGTGATCAGCTGGTTTCAAGCCGGCCGCAAAGTGCCAGCTGGAGACCATGTTTGGGCAGCCAAATCAAGCTGCCAAGGACACAGCGTTGCCTCGCAATGGGGTGAACGAGGAACAGCCAATTGTCAAGTCTTCTCGCAGCTTTGTTTCCCACGCTGTGGAACACCACAAGTACGTGTCATGGAAAGCAAAAGCGCACGCGCCAGTTGTATTTGTCCGAGTTACCAAGCACAAGCAGGGGCACAAGCAGGGAGACAGGTATGGAGACAAGTGGGGAGACGAGTAGGGAGACAAGCCGTGGCAAGGTCCGTGTCAGAAAGCGTTCGCATGGAGAGAGAAGCGGGGGTTACAAGTGGGTGGCGGGGGCCAAGCGGGGAGACAAGCAGGCCGAGTCAGCAAGCAGGGGAGACAAGGGGAGAGGGAGAGACAAGCGCGGAGACCAGTGGAGGACAAGCCGTGACAAGGTCGGAGTAAGCAATTGCTGGCAGGGAGACAAGTTGGAAGCCGTAGCAAGACAAGTGGAGAGGCAAGTCGGGAGGCAAGTGGGGAGACAAGGGGAGACAAACAAGTGCGCAGACAAGTGGAGAACAAGCCGAGAGACAAGCAAGTGGACATTTTTCGCACGAGTAGAGAACACCAGCAGCAAAGGTGCCTGGGGAAAAATATAGCAGGTCCAATTTGCCAGGGGGTATGGGTTAGCCTAGGGCACAAAATGGGGTTTTCCGTTTGGCATTGCTTAAGCCAAGGTGAAAAAGGTACCCATTAGACTGCCTTGTCTCGGCCAAGCGAGGGGAAAATCGTGGGAGTGGCCGAAAAGCCATTGGAATATTGCCATTGAATGGGGGCAACCCATTGGATGAACCCAAATGGCTGTGGGTCAAAACCAATGGTACTACTTTGGGGTAGGTGCACCACTCATTCTAGTTTTAGTGGGGATTGGGATGTTCACTGGGGGTACGATTTGGAGTTTGACCCATGGCCAAATGCCGGAGACGGCCCCACCGTTAGCGGGGCTCTCTTCCGGGCAGGCCCGGGAGATCTTCTGTTTGCTGGCGCGGGGCACCTCCGGGTGGCTCAGCTGGGAGGCCCCGACGTGCGAGATCAACTGGTGCAGTTTTTACCCGTTTCCTTTTTTTTGTTTCTCGGGGGCGGGGGGGTGGTTGGGAAGATTGCACCAAATGTGGCGCGCGCGTGCGTGGCGTGTAAGAAACGAGATCTCTTTAAATGAAAGAGATCAATTTAGTGAATGAAGCACAAACGCATCCTCTGTTTTGTTTCGATGCAAGAAGTGTACATCTCCATGTTTTCTGTTTTTCCGTTGCTTATGATAGTTAACGTTTCCTAATTTACGAGATACATCACTGGCGTAGCATCACGCTTTGTAACAAAGTCAAAAGAGTTCTGAAGAGGCGAGTTTCCTTTCCCTCCCTGTCATTCCTTTCCATTTCCATTCCATGTCAATTCCAGTTTAACTTCATTTCTTTCCTTTCTATTCGTAGCTAGAAGTGCCGAAGGCCAGCCCGGGCCAAACACGCGCTCGTTTAATTCCATTTCCTTCCTTTCCATTCCTAGCTAGAAGTGCCGAAGGCCAGCCCGGGCCAAACACGTGCTCGTTTCGCAATTTCCCGTGCCAAGAATTTGGACAGGGCGAGTTTCATGTCCATTTCCTCAAAAAATATGCCTATATCTTTCCGTCCCTTTCCATATTCCTTTCACTCGTTTGCATGTGTGTTCCATGTCCATTCCATTTCAAATCCATTTCTTTCTTTCTATTTCGTGTATTTCTGTCTAGTTCTTTTCCTATCCATTTCCTTTCCAATTTTGTTTCCACTTCTTTCCATTTTCTTTCCTTTTTTGTGTTTCCATTTCTTTCCATTCCTTTTCGCTCCTCTCTAATAAAGTGATCAAGGCCAACCAAGGCGGAAAAGTTGCTTTTTTTGTGTAAATCTCCCCGAACAGAGGTTGAAGGGGTGAGTTTGTTTTCCCTACTTTTCAGTCCTTTCCATGTCCATTCCATTTTAATTCTACTTTCAGTCCATTTAATTCCTTTCTTGTCCGACCCGTTTCTTTCCGTTTCTTTGCACGTCCTTTTTATGTCCTTTCTATTCCTAACCTGGTTGATCCTTCCAGTAGCCGTATACTGATCTCACAATTAATCAGCATACTAGATAGAAACAATAGCTGGACAATCTGTCATTTTCCAATTAATGAGAAAACTAGTTGACAAATCAGTCATTGTTTTCTAATGGTTGGTTCTAGGCTCACTGCTGATAAAGTTTGTATGAAACCAATTACGGAGCCTGCCCCTTTCCATTTCCTTTCCATTCCTTTCTATGTCCAATCCATGTCCATTTCCTTTCCATTTCCTTTCGATTCCCCCTACATTTCGCTCCCGTTTCCTTTCCATGTCCTTCCGATTCCTTTCATTTCTTTTCCATTTCCTCTAAATGTCCTTTCCACGTCCTTTCCATTTTCTTTCCATTTCCTTTCGTTTTATATTTCCTTTCTGTTTCCTTTCCATATTTCCTTTCCAGTTCCTTTTCATTTGCGCTTCAAAGTGTCCGGGTCCAGCCGGAATTTAAGAATAGCAGGAATATCAATCATGTTTTTCTAATTCTTATATTTTGTTCAATGAATGAGAAAAATGGCTGGCAAATCAGTCATTTTATTCCATTTTTTAAAATAGCGGGAAAACCAGGCATGTTTTTGCTTTTGTTTTTATTTTTTCTAATTAATGAGACAAATTGGCTGGAAAATCAGTCATGTTATTTTTTTGCCTAATTATTTGGAGGAGGCTAGGTTTCCGGAATGTTGGGACCTATTTTTTATTTTTATTTTTTATGATCTTCTTAATGTTTCTATTATTTCTATTGAAATAGAAAAAGTAGCTGTAAAATCAGTCATTTTTTTAAACTTTAGAGCCTCCGGCTCAGTCCGCCGACATTGTCCTCTCCCTTTTCTCCTTCTTACTCTCTCCCTTGTCTCCCTCGCGCGTTCTGTCGTCCTCTCTCCCTCCCTCTGCTCCCCATCCTCCCCATCCCCCCAAGCCTCTCTCTCCTCAATCTCCCTCTCTCTCTGTGTCTCTCTCTGACTCTCTCTCTCTCTCTTGCTGTCTCTGTTTCTCTCTCTCTTGCTGTCTCTGTTTCTCTGTCTCTTTCTGTCTCCCTGTCTCCTTCCTGTCCACGCCCCTCTACAGAAAAAGGGTACCCTGATTCGAACCTCTCTACTCTCTCACCTTCTCGCTCTTTCTCTCTCGCTCTCTCTCTGTCTTTCTGTGTCTCTCTTTCTCAGTCTCTGTCTTTCTCTCTCTGGCTGTCGCTCTCTCTGTCTGTCTCTTTCTCTGTTTCTCTGATTCTGGCGCTGTCTCTGGCTCTGTCTCTGTCTCTCTCTCTCTCTCTAGCTTTCTCACTCTCTGTGTCTCGCTCTCTCTCTCTCTCTCTCTCTCTCTCTCCCTCTCTCTCTCCCGCTCTCTCCCTGTCTCTCTCTCTCTCTCTCTCTCTCTCTCTCTCTCTTTCTCTCTCTCTCTCTGCATTGCAGCGTCACGTCCCCCCCTGAGTTCCGGGCACTGCCCCTGCATGACCCGGAACTGTCATCTCACTACTGGCTTTCCCCTTGATTTCCCCTTCATGTCATTTTCACGTTTCCCATGATGTCCTGGTCGTGTCCCTTCCATGCCGTTCAACCCCCCCTTCATGTCCCTGACATTTTCTCGGTATGTCCGCTTCATTTTCCATGCATGTCCCGTTCTTTCGTCGCGAGTCATTTCCCTACATCTCTCGTCGTGCCGATTGGTTTCCTTGTGCGTTGTTTCCCTTTCCTTCCCCCTACTCCCCTGTTTTCATTTCTGTCCCTTGCATGTCCCTTTCAGTTCCCCTTTGTTTCCCTTTCATGTCCCGCCGCTTTCCTGTCATGTCGACTTCCTATTTCCTCCCCTCATTTCCTTGCACTTCCTTGCATTGCCCCTTTGCTCCCCAATATGTCCATCAAAAATCACGGTTTTCCAGCGTTTTCGAAAGTAGGGCGTCCAGATTTTCGGCAAAAAGAGGCAGGAACCCCAACGCAGCAAAGAGCCGGCAGGGGGAATCGAGCCTGGGACCCCTGTTCGAAGACTACGTTTAGTGGAAGGTCATCAAATTGCCGCGTGGTCCTTGGGGGAAGTGGGGGGTCTGCCAGGTACATTCTACGGGAAACCTCCGGCTCAGAAATAGTCAATTGTTTCTATTTTTATTTTTTGTCTAATTAGTTAGACAACTTAGCTGAAAAATCAGTATTTTTCTAATTTTTCTTACTTAATTAGAACAATTAGCTGAACAATCAGTCAATGGTTTCTAATTTTTCGATTTTTTCTAATTAATTAGAAAAAATAGAAAAAATTGAAAAATGAGAAAAATTAGAAAAATAGGTCCCAACATTCCGGAGACCGGCGGACAATTAACTGATTTTTCAACTAGCTTTTCTAATTAAATAGAAAAATAGAAAAATTAGAAACAATGACTGATTTTTCAGCTAATTTTTCTATTTAATTAGGAAAAATGCAAAAAATGAGTGATTTTTTCAGCTAATTTTTCTAATTCATTAGACAAATCAGAAAAGTTAGAAAATTGACTGATTGTTCAGCTAATTTTTGTCATTAATTAAAACAAATAGAAAAAATAGAAAAAATGACTGATTCTTCAGCCAGTTTTTCTAGTTAATAAAAAAAATTTGAAAAAATAGAAAAAATAGAAAAATGGCTCATTTTTCCGCTAATTTTTCTAATTAATTAGAAACATATAAAAACTTAGAAAAATAGGAAAAATAGGTCCCAACATCCCGGAGACCGGGGGACAAGAAGAAAAAGTAGACAAATTAGCAAAAATTGGGTGTTTGTTCAGCTAATTTTTCTAATTAATTAGAAAAATTAGAAAAGTTAGAAACAATTGACTGATTGTTCAGCTAATTTTTCTAATTAAATAGAAAAATTAGAAAAATAGAAAATGACTGATTTTTCTTCTAATTGTTCTAATTACTTAGAAAAAATAGAAAAATAGAAAAATTAGAAAAAATAGTTCGCAACATCCCGGAGACCAGGGGACAAGAAGAAAAAATAGAAAGTTAGCAAAAATTGATTGTTTGTTCAGCTATTTTTCTAATTAATTAGATGAATAGAAAAATAGATACATTGACTGATTTTTCAGCTTTTTTTTCTAATTAATTAGAAAAACATAGAAACCATGACTGATTTTCAGCTATTTTTTCTAATTAATTAGGACAATTAGAAAAATTAGAAAATAGAAAAATAATTCAAAAATGACTGATATTTCAGCTAAGATTTCTATTTAATTAGCAGAAGCAGAAAACATGACTGATTTTCAGCTAATTATCATCATCATGTTCATCAACATTCGTTTTACCATCATATTTATCATCATTTTCATCATCATTTCTGCGCGCAACACGTTGTGACACATTTGGTATAATCTTCCCTCATACGGGGGTTGCGGGGAGGGGGGTTCCATTCATGTGACCTCCCCCGCCCTTTTGAAGAGCGCCATCAGTCGTAGGGGACCCTCTTTAGTGGGGGGGGGGCTGGGTTGGACTTGGGCTCGCCAATTCAGCCAAGGCTTCGTCTCAGATGCCTCGTGCTAGGAGTTTGGGGTGAACCGTAAAAGGCCAAGGCGTTGATCTGGGAGTTTCCCGAGCCCCAAAAAGACTTGATGTCAAGGCAGGCTCCGAAACAGTCGTACGTTTTGAGGATGATCAGGGGCTTGCGCGGTATTTTCTGGGGAGAGTTTAACCAGAATTTGATGCTTGGGGACCACTTGCCTAGATCTCCGAACCTTGGCCTCGCCTGGAAGTTAGAGTCAAACCACCGTTTAAGAGTAAACGGCTAAGGCTTTGAAAACAGTTCCTATTATTTTCTTGCCCGGATTTTCTGTCGGAAAAAACATGTTCTATATGGAAGGCCCTCTCATGCAGGGACGGGATCTGAATTAGGAACAACTTTCTATAACATACGACATAATTGGGAGATTTCCATTTGGAGGCGGAAGACAGAAACAGTTGGAGCTCGCTTCCCCCCTTGTTGCTTGCTCTCTCGCTCGCTTCCTTCAATTCTTCCTTCAAGTCTTCCTTCAATTCTTCCTTCAATTCTTCCTTCAATTCTTCCTTCCTTCCTTCCTTCCTTCCTTCCTTCCTTCCTTCCTTCCTTCCTTCCTTCCTTCCTTCCTTCCTTCCTTCCTTCCTTCCTTCCTTCCTTCCTTCCTTCCTTCCTTCCTTCCTTCCTTCCTTCCTTCCTTCCTTCAATTCTTCCTTCCTTCAATTCTTCCTTCCTTCAATTCTTCCTTCCTTCAATTCTTCCTTCCTTCCTTCCTTGCTTGCTTGCTTTCTTTCTTTCTTTCTTTCTTTCTTTCTTTCTTTCTTTCTTTTCTTTCTTTCTTTCTTTCTTTCTTTTTTGTCTGGCCCGGCCACCTTCTTGAACCCGCGCGTGCCAGGTCTTCCGGCGTCGGCTTCATGGGGGCGAGTGGCAGGCTTGGCGGAGGGAAGCGTGTTGCTTAGAGGCAGAAGGACAAATGCAGAACACAGATGGTTCCTGAATTCAACATGCCCTGGTCATGGATTGTATGTATCTATCTGCTCATTCCACGTTCTTCTTCCCACAGGATGGATTCCTTCATCGGCCCCATGATAGAGACTATGATTGGTGTGTCATATGGGAGTGTCCAAGATTTGTGGACAGTGTTTTTGAGTTTTTTTTGGTGGAGCCTGGATACCTCCATGTTTACATATCCTGACCAGTTTGCGTGGACAAGTCAGCCAAATCGCTGCATTCCAACCGGATTTCTCCTTTCAGGTGGCTATGAACATTGCCTTTTTGGTCATCATTCTCCACAGCATGAGTGGTTGGAAATTAGCCGTTTCCAACGCAAGTCTCAACATCTTTGATCAGGCCAGGGTTGTCCGTAAGGGTTTCACCAAGAAACCCAACGAATCCAAGCAGAATCCAATCGACAAGGTTCCGAAAACTTTGCCCATGAATTGTGGTTCATCCAAACCCTCAGGAAGCAGCTCTAAAAAGCTGCGGGATCAATAGGTGGTAACACCCATATGCCCCTTCATCAACTGGCTTCGTTTTGGATACCCTTCAACCATGATCAAAATGCGAGCTTGCTCCTAAATTTTGGGATGATTCGCGGCGTTTTGGGTAGGTTTGCGGGTCAGATGTCCAGCTTCATTTTCTCCCGAATGAGCAGCAGGGTTCCCGCTTTGAGGTTTTTGAGGTTGAGGGCCCGGGGGGTTGGGAGTTTACGTTCGCAAGCGTTTGCGAAGCGTCCGCAAATCGTCCGGGGAGTGTTCACGAGTGTCGCGCTCGCCGTGCCATTGCGGTTCCGTCAAAAGATGAGTTTCTAATGAACCTTGGAAGTTGAATCCGTTGTGCCCGTGCGGGAATCGTAGCTCTGAGCGCGTTAGACGTTGTTTCGCTGCACAGGCGCAGTGTCCCCACTTGCTGGACGCGCGTCGTAACGTGACCGGCGCAGTACTTTGAACGATTTTGGGTTCGTTGCAAGCTGACTCTGCGTGACAGGCGCAGCGTTTTGCAGCTTTAGAGCTAAGAAAAGATTGCGTGGCAGGCGCAGCCCTGTGCTTGGCGTGTAGATTTTCTTGGCAGGCACAGTGCTTTAGAGCTTGGCCTGCAGATTTCATGGCAGGCGCCCGTCTTTGGGGATGTGTCCAGGGCTCGAGGAGGGGATGTCTTCGGGGGTGTCTTTGGGGTCCCTTGGGTTGGTGTCTTGGGTGATGTCTTTGGGCATGAAGATGGGGAAATCTGCCGATGGTGTCTTGGGGGATTAAGGGGAACCTCTTTGCGGCTGCCTTTGACGTTTGAGGGTGTGTCTTTGTGGTTGTCTTGGTCATCAAAATTTGTTTGGGGAACAGACTGTAGGGGAACAGTTTGTCAAAGACTTTTTCATCTTGGGCCAGTTTTGCGTTTTTGACGTTTTTTGACGGATTCTGTCGGTTTTTGTCGGTATTTGTCGGTATTTGTCGGTTTTTTGTCGGATTGTGTCGGATTTTGTCGGATTTTGTCGGCAACTTGTCATTTTCAACGTTTGGCTTTCGTTCTTGTTCGTTCCTTTAGCTTAATGCTTGCTGTTGTTGCTGTTGTTGCTGTTGTCAATTGTTAGTTGTGTGACGTTTGTTGCTGGTTGTTTATTGTTTGTTGTGTGTTTGTTTGCTTGCTTGCTTGCTTGCTTGCTTGTTTGTTTGTTTGTTTGTTTGTTTGTTTGTTCGTTTGTTTGTGTTTGTCTGTTTGTTTGTTTGTTTGTTTGTTTGTTTGTTTGTTTGTCTGTTTTTGTTTGTTTGTTTGTTTGTTTGTTTGTTTGTTTGTTTTGGTTGCTTGGTTGGTTGGTTGGTTGGTTGATTTGTTTGATTGATTGATTGATTGATTGGTTGATTGATTGATGGACTGATTCATTGATTGATTGACTGACTGACTGACTGTTTGAGTCATTCATTCACTCACTCACTCATTCATTCATTCATTCATTCATTCATGCATTCTTTCATTCATTCAGTCAGTCAGTCAGTGATTCATTCATTTCAATCATTGAGCTCATTCAGTCATTCATCCATCCATCCATCATTCATTCACTCATTCATTCATTCATTCATTCCTTCCTTCCTTACATTCATTCCATTCCATTCCATTCCAATCCATTCCATTCCATTCCATTCCATTCCATTCAATCTTTCACTCATTCATTCATTCATTCATTCATTCATTCATTCATTCACTCACTCATTCACTCACTAATCTCTTTTTGTATTGTATCATTCAATTTTTCTGTTGTTAATTAATTGTCTTTTATTTCATTTCATCCCATTCCATTCCGTTCCGTTCCATTCCATGCCATTCCATTCATTCATTCACTCACTCACTCAGTCATTCACTCACTCACTCACTCATTCATTCCTTCCTTCCTTCCTTCGTTCGTTCATTCATTCACTCATTCATTCATTCATTCACTCACTCACTCACTCACTCACTCACTCATTCATTCATTCATTCATTCATTCCTTCCTTCATTCATTCATTCATTCATGCTATTTCATTCCATTCCATTCCACTCCACTCCACTCCACTCCATTCCATTCCATTCCATTCCATTCCACTCCACTCCACTCCATTCCATTCCATTCCATTCATTCATTCAATTCCATTCCATTCCATTCCATTCCATTCATTCATTCATTCAATTCCATTCCATTCCATTTCATTCCATTCCATTCCACTCCATTCCATTCCAATCTTTCATCATGAGGCAAAATTTGCAGCGATGCTTTGGAAGAGAAATGAGGCAACATTTGTAGCGATGCTTTGGAAGAGAAATGAGGCAACAGTTGCAGCGATGCTTTCGAAGAGAAATGATGCAGCGATGCTTTGGAAGAGAAATGAGGCAACATTTGCAGCGATGCTTTGGAAGAGAAATGAGGCAGCAATTTGCAGCGATGCTTTGGAAGAGAAACGAGGCAACATTTGCACCGATGCTTTGGAAGAGAAATGAGGCAACATTTGCAGCGATGCTTTGGAACAGACATGAGGCAATATTTGCAGCGATGCTTTGGAAGAGAAATGAGGCAAAATTTGCAGCGATGGTTTGGAAGAGAAATGAGGCAACATTTGCAGCGATGCTTTGGAAGAGAGATGAGGCAAAATGTGCAGCGATGCTTTGGAAGAGAAATGAGGCAAAATTTGCAGCGATGCTTTGGAAGAGACATGAGGCAAAATTTGCAGCGATGCATTGGAAGAGAAATGAGGCAAATTTGCAGCGATGCTTTGGAAGAGAAACGAGGCAAAATTTGTAGCGATGCTTTGGAAGAGAAATGAGGCCAAATTTGCAGCGATGCTTTGGAAGAGAAATGAGGCAAAATTTGCACCGATACTTTGGAAGAAAAATGAGGCAAAATTTGCAACGATGCTTTGGAAGAGAAATGAGGCAGCAATTTGCAGCGATGCTTTGGAAGAGAAATGAGGCCAAATTTGCAGCGATGCTTTGGAAGAGAAATGAGGCAAAATTTGCAGCGATGCTTTGGAAGAGAAATGAGGCAACATGTGCAGCAATGCTTTGGAAGAGAAACGAGGCAAAATTTGCAGCGATGCTTTGGAAGAGAAATGAGGCAAAATTTGCACCGATGCTGTGGAAGAGAAATGAGGCAAAATGTGCAGCGATGCTTTGGAAGAGAAATGAGGCAAAATGCAGCGATGCTTTGAGGCAATTTGCTTTTGGAAGAGAAATTTGCAGCGATGCTTTGGAAGAGAAATGAGGCAAAATGCAGCGATGCTTTGGAAGAGAAATGAGGCAAACTTTGCAGCGATGCTTTGGAAGAGAAATGAGGCAAAATTTGCAGCGATGCTTTGGAAGAGAAATGAGGCAAAATTGCAGCGATGCTTGGGAAGAGAAATGCAGCGATGCTTGGGAAGAGAAATGAGGCAAAATTTGCAGCGATGCTTTGGAAGAGAAATGGGGCAAAATTTGCAGCGATGCTTTGGAAGAGAAATGAGGCAAAATTTGCAGCGATGCTTTGGAAGAGAAATGAGGCAAAATTTGCAGCGATGCTTTGGAAGAGAAATGAGGCAACATGTGCAGCGATGCTTTGGAAGAGAAATGAGGCAGCAATTTGCAGCGATGCTTTGGAAGAGAAATGAGGCAAAATTTGCAGCGATGCTTTGGAAGAGACATGAGGCAAAATTTGCATGCTTTGGAAGAGAAATGAGGCAAAATATGCAGCGATGCTTTGAGGCAAGAGAAATGAGGCAAAATGGCAGCGATGCTTTGGAAGAGAAATGAGGCAACAAAATTTGCAGCGATGCTTTGGAAGAGAAATGAGGCAAAATATGCAGCGATGCATTGGAAGAGAAATGAGGCAAATTTGCAGCGATGCTTTGGAAGAGAAATGAGGCAAAATTTGCAGCGATGCTTTGGAAGAGAAATGATGCCAAATTTGCAGCGATGCTTTGGAAGAGAAATGAGGCAACATTTGCACCGATGCTTTGGAAGAGAAATGAGGCAAAATATTCAGCGATGCTTTGGAAGAGAAATGAGGCAAAATTTGCACCGATGCTTCGGAAGAGAAATGAGGCAAAATTTGCAGCGATGCTTTGGAAGAGAAACGAGGCAAAATTTGTAGCGATGCTTTGGAAGAGAAATGAGGCCAAATTTGCAGCGATGCTTTGGAAGAGAAATGAGGCAAAATTTGCACCGATGCTGTGGAAGAGAAATGAGGCAACATTTGCAGCGATGCTTTGGAAGAGAAATGAGGCAACATTTGCAGCGATGCTTTGGAAGAGACATGAGGCAAAATTTGCAGCGATGCTTTGGAAGAGACATGAGGCAAAATTTGCAGCGATGCTTTGGAAGAGAAATGAGGCAAAATTTGCAAAATAACATTTGCAGCGATGCGTTGGAAGAGAAATGAGGCAAAATTTGCAGCGATGCTTTGGAAAAGAAATGAGGCACACTTTGCAGCGATG